TTCTGGATGTCAAGAGGAAATACCTTGATAATGCGATCCGCATGTTTGTGAACGGGAATGTCTGTGTTTTGGCGCCAACGCACAAGCTGGCGCCTCCATAGTTTGTACTCGTTCCAACTGCTCCAGGCGTCCGGGCCGGCGAAGTCCTTGCCTCGCTCGCCCCAGCCGCTCCAGTCCTTCCAGGTGGAGTCGCCCTTCCAGCCGTCGTCTTGAATTCCAACGTGGGTCTGTTACTATAGAGAGGGTCATGCAACAAACCTTGAAACACATATTATGACGATACGTGCATATGAGGTCTGGCAAATCGGGGCGGCATCGACGCGATGCCAAGGGGCGTCGTGGACTCGAGACTTCGGCCTGGAAGCACGAGGCGCACGATTACCCATATCATGAATCTCTGCCCCCGGTCGCAGTGTTCTGGGGGGTGCACGGACACGCAAAACACTGTTCAACTAAGCGTTTGCGGGCGCCGGCCTCGAACTCTTGCCCCATCGCCCGCCTCCTCCCAATATCCCTTCGCTGCGGCCCCACCCTCCTCATGCCCCTCCGACTACCCCCAGTCCTTATCAGGCCCCTCGCCCACACTGTCACCCCCCCATGTGCCAATTCACGTCGTTCCTCGTCGTCCTCATCCGCCGGATGAATTCCCCCATCGTCCGCGTGCTTGCCCTCCTCCCGTCCTCCACGCCCTAATGCAGATCATGCCCCCTCCTTTTGCCCCCCCCGCCTGCCTCGTCCTCGTGATGCTGGCACCGATGATGCAGCTCCTCCTGGGTCCACTTCCTCCCGTCTCGTCCAATCCCGTTCATCCCCGGCCCCTTGGCCACCCCTCCTATCGAGCCTCTTCGTTCCCACAGCCCGCCATCCCCACCCCCCCCGCGCGTTTGCACTCCCAGACCACGGCCCCCTGCTGGACCAGCCAGGCGACCCGCGGAAACTCTCGCCCAGTGACCACTCCAGCGAGCGGCGCGCAACAAATGCACCGTTCGAGATACGAACTGTGTATTTCGACCGCGCACGACGCCTTCCCTGGACCAGCCGAGCGAGAAACGTGAAAGTTCCCGCCCAATCAACGCCACCCGCGAGGGGCACACTCCAAATACACAAATGGGAACCAGATCTGTGTACACAGATCACACCACGATCTGTGTAGACAATGGGCCCGCACACGAAAATACACAGTTGAAGACGCAAATTGTGTACACAGGTCACACCTTGATCTGTGTATTTCGAAAATGTGAACGCTCGCCACCTCGAGGGCGCCCCGACTTTGCCAACCCAGAACCGAAGTCGACATGCCCAGCCAGGGGGGAATGCAAATACACACTTCCCCGGCCCAGGGCGCCCCCGAAGGAGCTGCAAATACGTGCCTCCCTGGCCCAAGGAGGCCACGGCGAAACGCGGCGCCAAAGCGGCCCCCAACGGCCCGAAGACGCCCCAAATGGCCTCGAAGGACCCCAAAGAAACCCGCACAGCAATCCGAGAACATGAGAGGTGTCACGTGTCATGGACCTCTTAATCGTCAAAGCTCCACGCGTCGCCATACAGACCACTGCGCTGGCAAGGGGGCGGACCTTGCCGCAAGCACCTATACATTTACATGTTAGCGATGCGACTGCGCTCGGCGGCCGGGACGCCCGCGTTTGGAGTGCGCCCCGAACGCTCGCATTGGCAATCCCCTCTGTTTGGTTGCGCCGCTTGGCTCGGATATCGAAAAGGCGATACACTGCTGACACGGGCACGCGGCACCAGGAAGTTCACTTTTCGAACAGGGAGGGAAGACGAGGTCGGACGACGGACGGTGGAGCAGGGAGGCAAAGAGGAACGAGGAATAATGGGGGAGGTGGACAGGGGCACTCCCCCGCCCGAGCCGCGGACGCTTTCGACGTCATCCAAGGTGGAAGGAAGGAAGGAAGGACAACGGAACGAGGGCGAGGACGACGACGGGAAGCAAACTGTCATGGGTTCGCATATAGCCATATGCTTGCGATTCGGGTGCCGCGTGCTTTCTTCGAGGCGCGTCAAGCCCGACCCACGCTGAATACACTAATTCCTCCAAACTGTGTAAACACCCTGTCGTCTGTACCCCCTCCTATACAACTGCTTCAGAACAGAGGGGCAGTGGATTCCAACCGTCGTCCCAGCTGTCCTTCCAGCCGGACTTCCACCAGCCGCTCCGGTCGGCGTAGTCCTCGACGCCGTCTGAGGCGTCTCGCTCTCCGGTGCGCCTCTGGCTCCAGGGGTCTCCACGCTGCCACGGATCTTCGTCTTGATCTGGTGCTGCCTCACTGGCCCGTCCTTCGCCTGCTGTGTCGGTTGCCCGACCTGCTCGGCTGGACTCATGCATGGACCAGGTCTCGCACCATCATGATCACCCTCTGCAGCTGCTGCGACGATATTCCAGTGGCCGGGTCTGGCCTGGCCGGTGGCGGCGCCTCTGGTGGTGCCGGCCTCGCCGCTGTAGCAACTCCATCCAGCAGCGCTCTGAGCTGCTCCCCCGAAAGGCGAAACTGGCCATCTTCATCTGCCCATTGTCTTGCTGTTCCCAAGGCTGCAACGATCGGTCCCTGGCCTGCTGAGGCCGAGCTGTGAGGTGAATTAGCACCTTGCTCCTGAGACATCGTCGGGTCCGCAGAACCGAGCCTCCGCAGAGGCTCCGCTACCACTGTCTCCCCACCGACGTTATCTCCAGATGACAAGGTGTCCCCTTTTCTCCGTCAGCACGGTCTCAGTCCCAGTGCGATCTCCGATCGCGCTGCACAAGCACTCTTGCACTCGTAGTAGTCAGAGGAAGGAAGGAATGGGCCTTGGAATGGAATGGGTAGTGAGCGACGGAGGGTTAACAACAAGTGAGTATGGCCTTGAGCCAAAATGGTTACGGAGGGGGCCCACTTCCCGATCATACGGTTCAAGTCCAGGGGAAAGTGTGAGGGCTACTCTCCTCACCCGATCAATGAGCTAGAGGCGCTCATTCCCACAAGGGGGATGAGCGAGAGGGAAGCAGGGCGGGGGGGGACCAGGGCAGGATCGTGAGACAGGAGGAGAGGACGGGAGAAAAAGAAAGAGGAGGAGGAGGTAGAAGGGGAAGGAAGGGGAAGGGAGGGACGGACGGAGAGGGAGAAGGGTGAGGAGGATGAGGGGAAACGAAAACGAGGAGAGGCAGCAGAAGTTGGAGGCGAAGGAGGGGAGGAGGCAGAAGAGGGGAAAGGGGATGAGGAGACACGGTGGAGGGGAGGGGGAGGGAAGGGGGCGGGGGAGGAAGAAAGTGGAGAGAAACCTCTGATCCTCCTCCTCCTCCTCCTCCTCCTCCTGTTCCTTCTCCTCCGCCTCCTGCTCCTCCTCCTCCTCATCCTCCACCCTCCTCCTCCTCCTCCTGCTCCTCCGCCACATCAGCATCCTCATCCTCCTCGTCAGCATCGACACCACCACCACCATCATCATCAGTATCATCAGTATCATCATCATCATCATCCTCATCATCATCATCATCATCATCATCATCATCATCATCATCATCGTCATCATCATCGTCATCGTCATCGTCATCATCATCATCATAAACACCAGTAGCAGCATCAGCATCAACAACGTCATTAGCATCAGCATCATCATCAGCAGCAGCAGCATCGCCATCACCATCGAAAGCAGCATCCTCATGATCACCACCCCATCAGCCGTACCATCATTCTCACAACCATCATCGTCAACAACAACATCATCAGCAACATCATCATCCTCGTCGTCTTCGTCGTCGTCGGCATCCTCATCAGCATGGCCATCACCAACATCCTAGTCAGCAGCATCATCACCAGCATCCTCATTCTCATCGAAAGCATCAGCAACATCATCGTGCTCGTCATCAGTATACTCAACATCAGCATCATCAGCAGCATCATCCGCATCAACATCATAAATAGCGATCAGTATCATTACAAGCAACAGCAGCAGAAACAGCACCACAAACACCATCAGCATCATCAGCATAATCAGCGTACCCATCGCCGGCACGAGCATCATCATCCTCATCAGCATCATTACTCTAATCGCCATCAGCAGCAGCGTCATCATCACCATCACCATACGCGCAATCGTCATCATCGCCATCATCGTCGTTGTCGTAGTTGTCGTCGTCATAAACATCAGCATCAGCATGAGCATAATCATCATCATCCTCATCCTCGTCCTCAGCACCAGCATCGACGTCATCGGCGTCAGCGACAGAGTCAGCATCAAACTCGTCATCACCATCATCATCATCATCATCAGCATCATCATCATCATCAGCACCATCAGTATCAGCAGCATCATCAACACCATCCTGCACATCTTCATCATTATCATCGTCATCGCCATCATGTTCAGCAACACCATCGACGCCATCACCAGAATCATCATCATCACCAGCATCAGCATCAGCATCAGCATCATCATCAGCAGCATCATCAGTATTAGCATCACCAACACAATCAGCATGATAACCATCACCACCATCATCAGCACCAGGATCGACGGCAGCGTCATTCTCAGCATCATCATCAGCACCACCACCATGATCAGCATCATCATCTTAATCGGCATCGTCATCATCAGCATCAGCAGTAACATTGTCATCATAACCATCATCAGGATCGTCATCATCACCATCACCAGCATCATCACCATCATAATCCTCATCATCCTCATCCTCATCCTCATCCTCATCACCATCACCATCCTCATCCCTCCTTCTCGTCCTCCACCTACGTCTCTGCATTCAACCTCCCTCATAGAGGCTCCTTCCTCCCTCGCCCCCTCTTTCCTTCATCCTCCTCCGCCCCCCTTTCTCCATCCTCCCAACTCATGCCTCCTCCTCCCTTCCCGCCCCCTATTCACGTCCTCCTTCACCCCATCCCTTACCCATTGTCGCTCCCTCCTCCCTCGTCCTCCCTCCTCATCCCTCCTCCTCCTCATCTTCCTCCATCACCCTCGCTTCTCCATCGTCCCTCCCTCTCCCTCTCCATCTAGTACATGACCATCCCGATGCCCAGGCAGGCGGCCATGTCGGGGCTGAGCTCGGCCTCCTCCGCGCCGAAACCCCAGGAGTATAGATTGTGGAGGACGGAGCGGAAGGCAAGGAGGAGGAGGAGGAGGAGGAGAAGGGGGAGGACGACGACGACGAAGATGAAGGCGAAGAAAACAAAAAGGGGGAGGAGGAGGCAGGTGGAGGGGCAGGACGAAGGCGACAACAAGGCCGCCCATGACGAGAGGAGGACCGAGGGAGTGCGGACGAGCACGCGGAGAGTACGATGACGAGGAAGAGGACCGCTGGGAGGACGAGGATACGAGGGAGGACGAAAACGGGGAGGACGAGGACGAGGACGAGGCAGGGTGGCGGACCCAGCACATAGGTCGAGGCCCAGCCAGGGCTCCTCCGCGCCCAGGCCCAGGCAGCGGGCCAGCGCCTCGGCGTCTGACTCGGCGCGCTCGGCCAGATCCGCGCCGCCGCCACCTCCGCAGGGCTCAAGAGAGTTCACCGCCAAGTGCCTCGCTCCCGCCCCGTCCGGACCCCGAGACCCCTTGGCGTCGCACAAAAACATGATGGCTGGGTTTTGCCAATTTCAGCTTCTCTGGGCCCGCATCGGGAGACCGGGACCGCCAAGAAACTACCCAGGATGCAAGACGGGTCCACGGGAACGGGTCCGTCAGGGGGCCCATGTCGTGAAACAAACATGACGTCAGGGGTCTGGGCCAGACACACTCCGAGGAGAGAAAGGGGGGTGAAGAGGAAGCAGTGGGGGAGGGCAAGCCGGGCGCGCTCGCGCCATGTCTCACATCAGACCCCATCCCGCCCATCCCCGTTCATTGCGCTGGTTTGTCTCCATCCGCCGACGGGTGTCCTGCGGACCTGAATCCCCCAAACGACGCCATCGCACAGCCGCACAGGGAAGCTGTGCACATTAGAGGAATGAGGAGGAGTAGGAGGCGGAGGAGGAGCAGGATGAAGAGGAGCAGGAGGACGAGCAGGAGGAAGAGGACAAGGATGAGTAAGGACAAGGAGCAGCAGCAACAGCAAGAGGATGAAAGGCAGGAGAAGCAGTGGCGGAGGGGAAAGAAGGGGGCGGCAAAGACGAGTAGGACATCGCATTCAGAGTGTAGTCCGCGCTGGGGCGACGCCTGAAATGAAGCCAACGCTGCATCGTGAACTATGTTTTCGAAAGGCTGACGAAATGCCGATGGTAGCAACAACGCTGCAGCGTGAACTATATTTTCGGGAAAGGAAACTTAGAACGTTCTGGTGGTGACAACCTTGTCAGCCACCGAAATGGCCACGGTGTGGGCGTGTACTCAGGTCCTCTGCCCAATCCCCTGAGCCTCAGCCCTCAGTCCTGAGGATCGTATTTAGGGGCGCGTGCCCACTGAGCTTTGAGAAGTGGTGTCGCGTGATTTGTTCCGGCCGAAGAAGGCGCCAAGACGGGCCGGGCCCCACGAAGCTCGCAAGACGGTACAAGAGGGCCCCCAGACGGCCCAAGAGGCCTCCAAGACGCCCCAAGAGACCTCCAATATGCCTCCCAAGAGGGCTACAAGAGGCCGACATCATTGATTATCGTATGTTTTTGAATGTTTTTGGTTTTCTCGCCGTTTCGGCTTCACGACGCTCCCCGACGGCCCTAGAAGCGCCCAAGACCGTCCCAAGACGGCCAAGTGGGCCGTAAAACGGCCCAAGAGGAGACGGCCCAAGAGGCACCCAAAACAGCCCTCGAGGGCCCCAAGACGGCCCCAGAGGGGGCCCAAGAGAGGGAACACAAAGCGAAAATGTGAGCCTTCCGCCCCAAGAGGTCCCAAGAAGGCCCCAAGAGACGCCAAGGAGGCACAAAGAGGCCCCCAAGAGGCCCCCAAAAGGCCCCCAAAAAGCCCCAGTAGACCTGGCCCGGCACAGAAACGGAAAGAGCGCTTCAGAAACAGAAACCGAAATTACTCACACCACCGTTCGTACTGGGAGCCTTGGCGTTGAGAGCTTGTTACGTCACCCCTCGCTCTTGGGAGCCTTGGTGTTCAGAGATTGTTGCGTTGCCGCCCGTTCCTGAGCCTTGGCTGGGCCTTGGTGTCAGGAACGTGTTACGTCACCGCTCTCTGCTGGGAGCCTTGGTCTTATCAGCTTGTTTACGTCACCGTTCGCTCTTGGGAGCCTTGGTGTGAAGAGCTTTTTGCGTTATCGATCGCTGTCTATTTGGCGTCGCTGGGCCTTCTTGGGAGTCCTATTGGGGCCCTTGTCGGGCCCTTTTGGAGGCCTCTTGGGAATCTCTTGGGGGCCTCTTGGGGCTTCTTGGGGGGCTCTGGGGGCCTCCTGGGAGCTTCTTGGGGCGAAAGGCCAGACTTTTCAGTTCGTGGTCCCCCTCTTGGGGCCGTCTTGGGGCCCTCTTGGGCCGTCTTGGGCGCCTCTTGGGCCGTCTTGGCGCCCTCTTGGGCCGTTTTGGGGGCCTCTTGGGGGCCTCTTGGGCCGTCTTGGGGCGGTCTTGGGGGCCTCTTGGAGCGTCTTCAACGCAGTGAAAGCCGAAAAGTCTTGTATGCTAAAAATGTACCTTTCCCCATAGGGAATTAATGATGTTCGCCTCCCGGTGGCCCCTTGGGACGCCTCTTGAGGGCCTCTTGGGGCTTCTTGGGGGGCTCTGGGTGCCTCCTGGGAGCGTCTTGGGGCGAAAGGCTAGACTTTTCGGTGCGTGGTCCCCCTTTTGGGGCCGTCTTGGGGCCCTCTTGGGCCGTCTTGGGCGCCTCTTGGGCCGTCTTGGCGCCCTCTTGGGCCGTTTTGGGGGCCTCTTGGGGGCCTCTTGGGCCGTCTTGGGGCGGTCTTGGGGGCCTCTTGGAGCGTCTTCAACGCAGTGAAAGCCGAAAAGTCTTGTATGCTAAAAATGTACCTTTCCCATAGGGAATTAATGATGTTCGCCTCCCGGTGGCCTCTTGGGACGCCTCTTGAGGGCCTTTTGGGGCTTCTTGGGCGGCTCTGGGTGCCTCCTGGGAGCGTCTTGGGGCGAAAGGCTAGACTTTTCGGTGCGTGGTCCCCCTTTTGGGGCCGTCTTGGGGCCCTCTGGGGCCGTCTTGGGGCCCTCTTGGACCGTTTTGGGGGCCTCTTGGGAGCCTCTTGGGCCGTCTTGGGGCGGTCTTGGGGGCCTCTTGGAGCGTCTCCAACGCAGTGAAAGCCGAAAAGTCTTGTATGCTAAAAATGTACCTTTCCCCATAGGGAATTAATGATGTTCGCCTCCCGGTGGCCTCTTGGGACGCCTCTTGAGGGCCTCTTGGGGCTTTTTGGGGGGCTCTGGGTGCCTCCTGGGAGCGTCTTGGGGCGAAAGGCTAGACTTGTCGGTGCGTGGTCCCCCTTTTGGGGCCGTCTTGGGGCCCTCTTGGGCCGTCTTGGGCGCCTCTTGGGACGTCTTGGCGCCCTCTTGGGCCGTTTTGGGGGCCTCTTGGGAGCCTCTTGGGCCGTCTTGGGGCGGTCTTGGGGGCCTCTTGGAGCGTCTTCAACGCAGTGAAAGCCGAAAAGTCTTGTATGCTAAAAATGTACCTTTCCCCATCGGGAATTAATGATGTTCGCCTCCCGGTGGCCTCTTGGGACGCCTCTTGAGGGCCTCTTGGGGCTTTTTGGGGGGGCTCTGGGTGCCTCCTGGGAGCGTCTTGGGGCGAAAGGCTAGACTTTTCGGTGCGTGGTCCCCCTTTTGGGGCCGTCTTGGCGCCCTCTTGGGCCGTCTTGGGGCCCTCTTGGACCGTTTTGGGGGCCTTCTGGGAGCCTCCTGGGCCGTCTTGGGGCGGTCTTGGGGGCCTCTTGGGCCGTCGTCAACGCCGTGAAGGCCGACAAAGCGCAGATGCTGAAAATATACATTTTCCTTTGGACAATAGATGATTTCGGCCTCTTGGGGCCCTCTTGGGACGCCCCTTGGGCGCCTCTTGGGGGCCTCTTGGGCCGTCTTGGGCGGTCTTGGGCTCTCTTGGAGCGTTCCTGGGGGGGAACCCGAAAAACATGCAAAATTCCAAGGGAAAACCCAAAACCGGCCAGTAACACGCAGCTTCGCCCACACCAGAACGCCATCACTCGTACCTCGCTCTTTCCGCTACCCCCAAGAGGCCCAAGAGAGGCCCCAAAACGGCCCCCCAGAGGCGTCCAAACTGCCTCGAAGAGTCATCCGAGAGGCCTCCCACGAGACCCTAACGAACAGTCAAGAGGCTTCATACCCCAAACCCAGGCGCGGGATGGGCCGAAGGCTATTCGATATCCGCCGCCCCCTGTTTGCGTGTCACAGGGGTGCCGAGCATGCTGGACGTTCTAGAAGGTTTGTGGCTCTTCTCAAGACTCCTTCTGAGCCTTCGACACAGAGCTGGCCACCAGGAAAGCTGCTCGAGAGGTGGTTGCCTGGGTTCTTCCTGCTCCAGATGGCTCCAAGGTGGCCCACGATGGCCTCCGAGACGGCCAAGATGGCCCCAACTTCGCCCAAGATGCTCCAAGACGGCCCATGAGAACTCAAGATGCCTCCAAGTGCGCCTAAGAAGCCTCCAAGACGGCCCCAGAGGCCCCCAAGAAGCCTCCAAGACGGCCCAAGAGGCCCCCAAGAGGTTCTCCAGGAGGGCTGGAAGAGGCCCAAATCAGTGATTTACCACAGGTGTCTGAATGATGTTGCCCATTGCTTCTTTTCGGCTTTCCGACGGCCCAGGACGTCCCAAGAGGCCCCACAATCGCCCCAAGATGGCTCAACATGCCTCCAAGATGGCCCCATGACGCCCCAAGAAGCCTTCCATACGGCCAAAACAGGGCCTCAAGACGGCCTAAGAGGCCTCCAAGGCGCCCAAGATGGCCTCCAAGATGGCCCTGAAGCGCCCCAAGAGGGCCAAAAGTCGGTCCAGAGGGCCATCCAAGACGGGTTCCGACGACGACCGACGGACCAGAAACGCACTAAGCCAGCCCAAGAAGCCCCCAAGAAGCTCAAGAAGGTCCCCAAGAGGCTCAAGGAGGCTTCCAAGGGGCCTCCGAGATGCCCACAAGGAGCTCCCAGAAGGCCCCGAGAGTCCTGCTCTCCTCCTCCTCCTCCTCCTCCTCCTCCTCCTCCTCCTCCTCCTCAGCCTCCTCAGCCATCTTCCTCCTCCTGCTCTTCCTCCTCCCTATGCTTTCTCCATCTGGTCCTCCATCTCCTCCTCTTCTTTCTCCCCCGCGTGTTCCCCGAAGGGTTTCCAAAACGGCTGGGGGTGACACAAGGTCGGATAACTTGGCAGAGCTCTGGCCACAACGTTCCGCCACATAGGCGACTCCAAAAGGAAGGGGGAGGCAGTGCTTCGCCGTAGGCGTCTTCGATCGAATATCAACCCGAAGAAGCCTTGTGCATTAGAAACATAATGGCGGGGTAGGTGCACAAACATGAAGACACCATCTGAGAACAGGGGAGAGTAGAGTTCATGTTGACAAATTGCGGGGGGGGGGGAGGAGAGGAACGGGAAGTAGGGTCAGGGTAAGACGGGAAGGGGCGGAGGAGGCGGAGGATGAGGCACATGACGACCAAAGTTCGTTCCCCTCAAGCCTCCTCATCCCTCATCCTCATACCCCGTTTCTCATCACCGCCCTCTCCCACAAGTATACAATGATGCAAGTCACCAACAGCACCACATCATTATCAGTATCATCATCGCCATCAACAGCATCATCATCATCATCATCATCATCATCATCATCATCATCATCATGGTCATAATCAGCATCATCATCATCATCATCATCATCATCATCATCATCATCATCATGGTCATCATCATCATTATCATCACCATCCTCGTCCTCGTCCTCATCAACATCATCCTCATCATCATCATCATCATCATCAACATCCTCAGTATCACCATCATCGCCGTAATCGTCGGCACCATCATCATCATCACCATCACCATCACCACTATCATCGTCAGCATCGTCATCATCATTAACCTCACCGTCGTCATACGTTGAACCATTATGGCCACCACCACCACAACCATTATGGTCATCATCAGCATCACAATCATCATCAGCATAAACGTCATCACAATCATCGTCATCATCAGCATCATCGCCATCATCTCTGCCATCGTCATTATCATCGTCAGAAGCATCTTCATCAGCATCAGCATCAGCATAAGCATCAGCATCATCATCATCATCACCGTCGTCGTCAACGTCATCGTCATCTGCAGTACTGTCGCCGCCATCACCACCATCATCAACGGTGTCGTCGTCGCCGTCATCATCATCATCAACCACATCGTCATCTTAATCGCCACCACCACCATCCTCGCCACCGCCAACAACACCATTACGTACCAGCACCATCATCATCGTCGCCATCGTCATCACCATCATCATCACCATCATTTTGATCAATATCATCACCATCACCAGCAACAGCATCATTGTCATCATCACCATCAGTGGCGCAAGTACCAGCAGCGTCGACATCATCACCGGCACCATCATCACCAACACCATCATCGCATCATCGTCATCGTCACAATCACCATCAGAATCACCAACACCATCACAGCCAGCGTCAGAAACATCATCATCACACTCCGCATCATCGTCATCAGATTCGCCACCATCATCACAACACTCATCAGTAGCATCAACATCATCATCAGCATCACCATCAACATCATCATCCCAAACATCCTCGTCATCATCATCATCAACTTCATCATCGTCGGCACCGTCATAATCATAATCCTCGCCATCATCATCATCCTCATCAACATCAGCATCGTCATCATCATCAGCCACACAATCATCGTACGCATCCCCATACTCACCATCATCCTCATCATCACCACCATCGACCCCTCCATTATCACCATCATTGCTGTCGTCGTCTTCAGCGTCGTCGCCGACATCACCAACATCAGCACATCCATCATCATCAGCAGCATCGCAACCGCCACCATCACCATCATCATCATCGTCATCATCAGCATCATCATCAGCATCATCAGCAACATCATCACTACCAGAATCATCAGCAGCATCAGCACACCCACGAGCATGTCAACCACCACTACCACCAGCAGCAGCCTCATCATCATCATAATCATCATCACCATCGTCATCATCATCAGCATCATCACCGTCGTCGTCATCGTCATCGTCTTCGTCATCTGCAGCATCGTCGCCATCATCACCAGCACCATCGTCATCGTGATCATCATCATCGTCAGTTTCATCACCACCACCAACATCATCACCACCACCGACATAATCACTATCATCATCCTCATCAGTATCGTCGTCATCGTCGTCAACATCATCATCAGCTCCATCATCAGTGTCATCATCATCAACAGCATAATCATCATCATCATCATCCTCATCATTCCCATCATGTTCAGCAACATCATCGCCATCACCATCACCATTCACACGCAAACATAATCATCGGCATTATAATGTCCGTCACCATCATCACAATCATCGTGGTCATTATCATCATCGGCACCATCATCAGCAGCATAAGCACCATCATCATAATCCTCGCCATCATCATCATCAGCACCAGCATCACCATCATCAGCATCATCACCATTCGCTTCTCCATACTCATTATCATCCTGATCAGAGCCACCATCACCAGCATCATGACCATTATCGTTGTCGTCGTAAGCGTCGTCGTTATCACCACCAAAATCGTCACCATTATCATCATCACCATCATCATCAGCATCATCAGCAGCATCACCATCACCATTACCATCACCATGACGATGACGATCACGATCGACGCCACCACCCCTCATCCCTCCCACCCTCCCCCTTCCTCCGCCCCTGCCCCCAGCACCCCTTCGAGCTGGAGGGGGGGGGCAGGGCAGGCACGATGACAGGCCCTGGAAGCTTCCGGAAAGAGCTGCCGAGGGACCTAGACAGAGCTTCTGAAGGACCCTCTGGTGAGCTTCCGGGCACGCGTAATGGATAAGACAATCTCAAACAAGCTCCGGGGCCACCCTGCGGCTCCGGCTCCTTAATCTGGAACCTCTCTCCGCTACCTCTCCGGGCCTAGCGAGGTGCAGGGGGCGGGGCTACAGGCGGGCGGCGGATGGGCGACGCGGCCGCCTCCCTCCGCTCCCTCTCTGGAGGCGCCGACGTCCACCACGCTCAGCGCGCCCAGGCACCCGCCGCCCGCCGCCCACGCGCGAGGCCGCAGGCGGCCCAGCGCCGCCGCGGCCGCGCCCGGTGCGGCGGCGGCCGCCGCCGCGGCCGCCGCGGGGAAGCCCGCCCGCAGCACGCCGAGGCGCAGGGGCGCGCCAAAGGTGGGCCCGCCGGCGTCCAGGGAGAGCTCCCCGAGGACCTGCTCGTCGGGTCGGGCGGATCCGCGCAAAGTCCTGGACTCCCTGGCCCGTTTCTCAGGGCGGATCCTGGCATGGCGACGAGAAGCCTCCAGGAGGCTCAGAAAGGGACGGAACACGCAAGGGAGGGCCGCCGTTGTCACCCAGGACGTCCAAGACGGCCCACGAAATGTCTAAGGGTGCCGAGGTCGCCCCGAGGAGGCTCTAGATGGCCCAAGCATGTGGAAAGGCAGAGTGCCATCGCGCAGCCATCGTCCGGGTGCTGCTACAAGCGGTCCTGGCCCACGGCGTCCTCAGCCTCTCGCGCCACTTTGGAGCCTCAGGGGTCCTCTGGGCATTCATGAGGGGCGCTCTGGAGGCCATCTGGGTCTCCCTGGGAACCCTGGGACGCCGCCAGGAATACGTTTGCAACATGCGAAGCGCGGTGCCGTCGTCCAATGGCCGCTAAGATCCGAGGGCGCGAGAAGATCGACGACAGGAGCCCTGGAGCCAGACTTCTGCCACATTTTACAAGCCAGACCCATATGTGAGGCCCCCAGGGCCCAGAACCAGGCGAAAACGCCCTGTGAAAAATTTGCGACGCCTTGATGGCAGGGAAGCGGGGGCTAGCGAATCAGCTCACGCAGCTGGTCTCGGCGCTGGGAGGCGCATGTGTATCGGGGAGACGTGCCTAGCGGAGGGCCGAAACCAACTGCACGCAGCAGATCTTCTGCCCACTCCCTATCCCCCTCGGCGTCCAGCGGCAGTGCCTGTGAAGGTGGCGGTGGCATGATCGCGGGCAGCTGCAACGACAAAAGGCCAATAGCAGAAGGGTGGGCCGTGGGGGTGGGCCAGGGAGGGGGGGGGGGGGGAGGGGGAAGGGGGAGGGGGAAGGGGAGGGGGAGGGGGAGGGGAGGCAGGGGGAGGGTGGGCAGGGGGGAGGGGGAGGGGGAAGGCCATGGGGGCAGGGGGAGGGCGAGGGGGGGGGGAGCGGGCGAGGCAAGGAGGTGGAGGCCAAGGAGGAGGGGGAAGAACCGCCCGGGGTGGAGGAGGTGGAGGCCAAGGAGGAGGAGGAGGAGGAGGAGGAGGTGGAGGCCAAGGAGGAGGAGGAGGTGGAGGCCAAGGAGGAGGGAGAGTGAGAGGGACGGAGGAAAGAGGAGGAGCGGACCAGCAGGTTTGGGACACGTCGAAGAGGAGGAGGGGTAGGAGGGTCAGCTTACCAAAACGCCATCTCATCGATACCTTCATCAACCTAGGTCTCAGCATTTCAAAATAGAGCGCGCAGAAACAAATGGGGAATCACACCAGCATGAACCCAGCGCGACCCCAATCCCACCAGCCCTTTGGGCGTGAGTGGTTTAGAGAGCCCGCTCTGTTCTCAACCCCCTTCTTCCCCTTCGGGGAGGGGTTTACCCCTCCCCCTACCCCCTCCCCCTGGGCCTGGAGAGGGCGTCTCGCGGGTCGTTGGAGGGGCCTTTTTTCACTCCTGGGAGGGCTAAAATTCGACACCCCTCACGAGGATTCTGGCCCCGACGGGGGGGGGGGAGAACAGTGCTCGCCCCATCTGTGATCGATCGCCCGACAGATGGCCCCAAGATTCCTCCCAGACCCCTCCCAAAGAGTCCCAAGAGGCCCCAAGAGGCCTCCAAGAGGCCCCCAAGATGCCCCCAAGAGGCGCCCAAGAGGCCCCAAGAGGCTCCCCCGAGGCACCCAAGACGCTCCTGGAAGCCCCTGGAGCCGCCAAGAGGCCCCCAAGACGCCCCAAACGGCCTCCAAGAGGCTCCCAAGAGGCCCGAAGAGGCTCCCCCAAGGCACCCAAGACGCTCCTAGAAGCCCCTGGGGCCGCCAAGAGGCCCCGAAGACGCCCCAAAAGGCCTCCAAGAGGCTCCCAAAACGACTCACACCACGACGAGGGCCCCGAACGACTCACACCACGAGGAGCCCGAACGAGTCACACCAGGAGGAGGGGCCCGAACGACTCACACGACGACGAGGGGCCCGAACAACTCACACCACGAGAAGCCCGAACGACTCACACCAGGACGAAGAGCCCGAACGACTCACATCACGAAGAGCCCGAACGATTCACACCAGGAAGAAGGGCCCGAACGACTCACACCAGGACAAGAAACCCCAAACGACTCAAACCACGAGGAGCGCTTTCTCTCCCTCCTCCTCCGCCTCGTCCTTCTCCCGCTCCCACCACAAGGAGGATGTACAAGGAGGCGGGAGGAAGGAGGAACAGGGGAGATATGCGGGGGCAGTCGGAAACACGCCTGAAAAACACGACTGTCGGCATGCTTCGCAAGAGTTGCTGTTTTGAGATGGGCTGGTGGGGATACGCGAAGCGTAAAGAATTTGGAGAAAGCTTCCTCTTTCATGGGCACATTGCTTGGCGTTGCTTGGCATGGCTTAGCATTCCGTGGCGTTGCGTGGCGGGGCATTGCTTGCCATTGTTGCGCATTGCTTGGCAATGTTTTGCGCCGTTTGTCGTTGCTTGGCGTTGCGTTGAGCTGTTGTTTCGTGTTACTTGACACTGCTTGGGATGGCATGACGTTGCATGGCGTTGCGTTGGCGTTGCTCGGTGCTGCATTGCCTGACGTTGATCGGCAATTCTTGGAAACAAAACCAAGCAACCCGAGGGATGCAGTAACCCGTGGATTGTGGTCAAGCAACATAACTAAGCAACCCGACGAACCCAATAAAAAAAACACGACCAAGCAACTGGGAAAGCAGGGTTGTAAATAAACAAGACCAAGCAACCCAGGGAATGCAGTAAAACAACCCAAACCCAGGCAATCCGAGGGACGCAGTGAAGGAACCAGACCTAGCAATCCCAGGGAAGGCCACAGTACGAAGCAAGACCTAGCAATCCAGGGAGAGGCCGCAATAAGGCCAAACCACCACGAAGAAGGCGGCAATGAAGAAACAAGACCCAGTAACCCCGAGAGCCGTCGGGCGGCACAGGCCTCGCAACCACCAGTTCTTCTAAGCGAACCAGTCTGACGCCTGATTGGGGGAAGGTATATTCGACGTGAAGCTGTCATACTCCTTCACACACTCGGGACTCCTACACACAGCATGCGTAATATCATACCTAACCTCTTCTTCGTGTCCAAGAAGGCATCGCGGGCCACACGCGCACGCCCCGCGCGCGCATCGAAACCATTCAACACAGAGACAGCGTACTTGCCATAATCATCAAAATCGTGTCGCACGTCCCCCCCCTCTCTCCCCCCCCCTCCACCTCCCCTCCCTCCACCCTCCCTCGCCCTCCCCGTCCGTCCTTCCACGCCACTCCCCTCCTCCCAGGAGCGAGGGAGAGACAACCACAACCGCTGTACTGAGGGAACCTCCCCTCGACCCGGCGGCTGCGGGCGCCCCTGACTCGCACATGACCCTCCTCCGCAACCCCGCGACCGCGCAGAGCTGCGCGCTCTTCCCGCACCCAGCCGGCCCCGCCAGCGCCGCACGCTCCCCTGCTCGCGGGTTGCGAAAGGTGCCCCTGGCCCAAGGCACACCCAGCTGTTCGCTCCGTTCTGGGTCCCCCGGGGCCCTCTGGGCCTCGTGAGGGGTGCTCTGCAGGCATGGACCTCCTCGGGAACCCTGAGCGCGCCCTGGGCCAAGGGTACTTCTGGCAACACCCGACCTGCGCACAGCGCCCAGGACGCCCCGCGCAGCACCGGCCCGCGCGGGCCCTCCAGGCGCGCCCCCGACAGGCGGAGTAGCGCTCCCCCGTCCATTGGCGGTGACCGCTGCCCACCGACGGGGATCCGCCCCGCCGGGGCGCTGGCCTGCGCGCCGGACGGCGGGTGCGGCGGGCGGAGGCCGCCCCGAGCCGAATTTCGGCGGTGGCAATGGGTCGGACTCGGCATTGCTCTCGACCGCCACCCTTTCCGGCGAAGGGAGGCCGAGCTCTGAGTCCCAGGCGGCCCAAAGCACAGAAACGAGAGGGCGGCGGACGGTGTTCAGCGCTAGAAGCGACGGGGCGGCTGCGACGGGGGGGAGGAGGAGGAGGAGCAGCGGGATGAGGCAGAGGGAGAGGGGGGCATGGGGGAGGCAGCGCTCGGCTATCGGAAAGAGATCATCCACCACGATTCCCCCTCGCGGCGACGAGAGGGCACTGTGCCTCTCGTTCGGTGGCCTGCGACGACGACGCTGCGGCAAGATCTGAGGCGCGGGCTCGGGCAAGCTGACGAACGGCCTGCCTGTAAAACCGTGCCGAGGACGGAGGGGGGAAGCAACAAAGAGCCTGGGGATGGGGGAGGATAGGGGGTGCGGACGGCGAGTGGCGCAAGTGAGAAGGGGGGCGGGCAGGGGGAAGGGGGGAGCGGGGAGGGAGCCGCGAGTGCGGACGGCGGGCGGCGCGCGTGAGAGTGAGATGCAGGACAGAGGCTGCCAGGACCTCGAGCCCCAATGCGACAAGCGACGTACCCGACACACATCCAACGGAACAGCAGACAGGGAGCTTCGTCGGACATTGCTGGGAGCTTGAGCAAGCAATGATCTCCCGAGCTCTGAGGCAGAGGACCTGGGCATGGCACGGCCACTCCTCATGAAGGGGAGAGGTGGGGGACGAGAGACTGTACGGAAGGAAACTGGGACTGCAGGGAAACAGGCCTGGATGGAGGGAGGGGTGGGGAGAATTATGAAGGGGGCGATCGAAGAAGGACGGCGGATGGCGGATGGCGCAAGGAGGAAGCGGCGGATGAGTAGGAGGGATGAGAAGGCAAGCAGGAGAGACGAGGGAGAGGCGGAGAAGAGGTGGCGCAGAGGGCGCCGAAGGCAGAAGCTAAAGAACAAACGAGCGGCAGGATGACAGATGAGCAACAACACCAGCAGCAGAAGCACGAAGGGGGGGGGCGGCCGGCGGAGAAATACGAACGAGTGCGCGGGGATGAGGAGGAGGAAGAGGAGGAGGAAGGGGAGGATGATGACGACGACGACGACGAGGGCGACGACGAAGAAATCGAGAACGACGAGACCAAATATGGCGACGATGGCGACGACGAGCGGCGGTCCTTATCCGTGCATCTGTCCGCCATGGCCTTAGCCTGTACGCCCACCCGCACCGAGTCCAGCGTTAGGCGGCCCAGCAGGTCGGAGATGCACTGGCAGGCCAGGAGGCAGAGGGGGAGGAGGATGAGTGGAAGGAGGGAGGGGGAGGGGGGGGAGGAGGGGGACGAGGAAGATGAAGGTCCTCCTGCACCTCCTCTTCCTCGTCATCCCTGTCCGTCCTCCCCCTCCTCATTATTCTCATTATCCTTCTCCTCATCCCTCCCAGCTCCTCGTTCTCCTTCTGCCATCTTCCAGCAAGCCTCTGCGCACCCTGCCCATCAGGGATCGGCGCTGGCGCAACGTTGGGATATCACCAGGACGCGATGCAGCTCAAGCAAGCGCCACCACCTGCCAAATTCGGGGTACTCTGAAGTGTGGGGGCAAGGCACCGAAACATGTTGCATGCTGGCACGTCAGGCAATGGAATTTAGAGTATATTCGTTGCTACGTGCACGTATGCGTTATGGCAAAGATGGCTCGATCTTCGGGGCCGCCCCGACGCGCAAACCCCACATGCATCACCGAAAACTGTACGGAACGCGTTTCCTGTATCTTACACACGGTTCACTTGTGGGGGTGGCCGCAGGCGAACCTCTTCATTGATGGTGGTGCGGTATTGTGTCTAAATGGAGCCTTCTGATCGCTAAAATAAGGGGGGGTCCGCCAAAGCAAACCATTCCACATCACTTGGTGACCTCGGCAACGGGAGATGTCCCCTGGCACGGTGACCCGCGGATCCCGAGCACGCTGACCGAAAAGCTCTTCGAATGGCGTCACATGTGACAAGAATGTATACATACATCGATAAAGCTAATCTGCTCCAGTCGCCCTCGAATCCTGGCCGCAGTTGCATATCATCCAGGACTTACGCGCGTGAATGCCTCCCATACGGTGCATACTCATCAATTTGGTGGTCCCCATTCCGGTGTCTGAGCGCTGCGCCGGTGACCTTCCAGTCCTTCTGCGACTTCATTCCTTCATCCTGCATCCTACGGACGAGCAAGGATAGTTCCAAACGACGCCCTTCCTCGTCCTCATCTTCCTCCAACTCCTCATGCTACTCTGCTTCCTCCTCTTCTTACAACTCCAACGTCTCCTCCATCTGCTCCTCCTCGTCCTCCTCCTCCCCATCATCACTATCATCATCATCATGGTAGCCGTACTCGTTTTCCTCGCCGTCGTTGCCGTCATCAGCATCGCCGTCATCCTCATGATCACCATCATCACTATCACCACAATCACCGCTCATCATCATCACCACCATCATCATCAACATCACCATCACCATCATCAACATCATAATCATCAACATCATCATCATCATCAGCAGCATCATCATCATCATGGAGACATCATTGTCATCACGATCATTATCATCAGCATCAACACCAACAGCAACATCAACAGCGACAACATCATCATCATAATCAGCATCGTCATCCTCGGCTTTCAGCTCCACATCATCATCATCGACAACGGCTCCGTCATCGCCAAACGACATCATCACCATCGTCCTCATCCGAATGACCATCAGCAGCATCAGCCTCACCAGCACAATTATCAGCGTCATCCGCATCATCCGCACCAGCAGCATCAGCATCCGCATCATCATCCGCAGCAACATCATCAACAGCAGCAGCTTAATCAGCATGACCATCATCACCACAACAATCAGCATCATCACCATCATCATCAACTTCGTCATCAGCATCATCAGCACCATCATCCCCATCATCATCATCCGCATCACCATCATCGTCATGATCAGCATCATCAGCATCAGCATCATCATCATCTGCAACACAAACATCAGCATCATCAGCATCATCAGCACCAGCAATATCAACATCAGCATAATCGTCCTCAGCCGCATCATCGGCACCAACAGCTTAATCAGCGTGGTCACCATCACCGCCACAATCAGCATCACCACCATGATCATCAACCTCGTCATCAACAACAGCAATATCATCATCATCATCATCATCACCATCCTCATCATCATCATCATCATCTGCCTTACCACCATCGTCACGATTATCACCATCATCAGAAACATCATCATCATCATTAGCATCGGCATCAACAACGTCAACGTCACTATCGCCATCACCGTCACCATCACCACCACCACCATCACCCATTAGCATCATCATCATCGCCACCATCAACATCATCATCCGCAGCATCACCATCCGCAACATCATCATTATCATCAGCACCATCGTCATTATCATCATGCGTATCATCACCAACATCACTATCAGCAGCATCATCAGCAGCGCCATCGGCATCATCATCAGCATCATCGTCAGCAACGGCATCAGCATCAGCATCAACACAAGAACAACAGCCCCAACATCAACATCATACGCATCATCGTCGTAATCGGAATCGTAACCGTCCTCGTCCTCGTCATTGTCATCGTCATTATCATCATCGACGTCCTCCTCCTTCCACTCCTTCTCCTCCGCCCTCCTCCTCCTCCTCCTCCTGCTCCTCCTCCTCCTCCTCCTCCTCATGCGCCCTCCTCCTCCGCCCCCCTCCTGGCCCTCATCCTCCGCCTGGGGGTTCTGCCCCCATCCCCCTCATCCCCAACGCCCTCCCGCTCAGGACCTCATTGTGAGATCCTGTGGCCTGGCACCCCCAACGCCCGCGCGCAGTCCTCCTGCGACTTCGCGGCGAGGGTGCTCGGCCACTGCTGCAGTCCTTGCGGCAGCAGTCCTCGCAAGAGTCGTGACCTCGCCTTCTTCCCCGCGCTGGTGGGGGGGTGGCAAGGTTCCTTCAGCTTAAAGGCTCGAGTCGACGACCCCCTTTCCCCCCCACCCCACACCACCCCACCCCACACCTGCTGCAAAATGCGACCCCGCGGATGACGTGGAGGTGCGGGAGGTGCGTCGCGTGAAACCACTGGGCGTGATTCGGGGCGCATGGGGATCCGAGCCAGGACTCCTCGGCCCCCCGAATCTGGCACCTGAAGCAGATTTTGCACCTGGGGCCCTCGGGGGCGTCTTCTAAAACATGCTGGGCATGGCCCCACTTCTTTGGGGCCTTAACCCGCCCACGCTTCTTGGGGGCGGGTGGCGGGGCATGGAAAACTTCCCAGAACAATACATATATATATATATATATATATATATATATATATATAAAAAAAAAAAAAAAAAAAAAAAAAAAAAAAAAAAAAAAAAAAAAAAAAAAAAAAAAACCTGAGCAGCGGCGATTCGATTCTGTATGAGCTCTATCTCACGATCTGCTTCTAAGGCGGGGCGGGTCACCCTATCAGGAAGTTGGGCTCGCGCTGCTGCACCTGTTGCAACCTGATCTGCTAACTGGTTCGCCAGGTATGCCCAGGGCTGGATATTATAATCCCAGAAATCACTCTCCGCGGGGTGAGACTTGGTCTTGTGGAACTCCATGGCCCCGTCGAAGCTCCGGTGGGCCTCCCAGAACTCCCCCCATAGGTCTACGTAACATTGATGCCGCCAGAGGGGCCCTCGAAGGACTCCACGATGCACATGTGCTGAATCTGTCACGATGGTAATCTCCCCTGCTAGGTTCTGGGCGGCCTTGACCACCGCGTAGAGCTCTCCGCGGTTGACCGTCTGTCTCCCTGGCAAGCCTCCTCTTAAAAATCCTATGGCCTCGAGGTCGGAATCTTTAACTGCTGCCCCCCAGCCAACTCTCCCCAGCCTGGGATCATTCGGAAACCTTCCTCCTCCAGCGTCGGTTCCCACCAAAAGCTTGCCCTTGATGAGGCCCCTTGGATCATGAAGATCCCCGTGGCTCCGAGGGTGGCTCTGGGAGGGCGTTGGTCCAGGCGTCCCGTCGTAAAATCAGCTGGCTGCAGTCCTCGCCCCCATTTAACTGGATAGGATGGAAGCTCATCAATAGCCTTCTGGATGAGGTACTGGGAGTCGAGGACTGCTCCATCGGCACTGCGCACGTGCGCTGGGCATGTCCAAAGGCGGTGAAGGTCGTCCTCCACTGGTGCTCCACACCTGGCACATCGCGCTGACTGGCTTGGTTTACATTCGTGTACTCGGGCGTTGGTCCAGATCGAGGCCTTCCCGAGGGCTTGAAGGGCTTTGGTTCGAATGGGCTGGTTATCCTTCCGAAGCTTCCGATAGGTCTTCTGAAACTGGACCGCGTCGACCCCGAACCCGGCCCCCCCTCCAAGGTGGAAATGCGAGGCCCTTTCCCAGAGAACCCGAGACACATATTCACTGAAGTCGTCCAGGAAGGCCGCCTGGGCTCTGAGGCTTCCAGGAACGAGCGCGCACCGCTGGCTGTCAGGAATGATCCATCCCCAGGGCCCCACCACGTACACTCCTAGGTCATGAAGGGTGGCAATGAGCGCGGAGAAGAGGGAGGTAATCCTACCCCATCGGGTCTTACTTGCCAGACTTGCCACTGTAGGAGACCATATGTTCCCTATTGCTTTGTGCATCTCTGGATTCTGGTTGACCGTGTCGAACCAGGTCTTGAGACTTGCATGGGGAGGTAGTGCGCAGGATCCTCCTGCTGCTGCCCCCGTGCTGACAAAGCAAAGCCTGCCGTCGTGCAACCATACTTGGGAACATATCGGAGTCCTCGAACTAGTCGTCCCCGAACTTGCCTGAGCACTGTCGGCGCAATACATTGCCCCTGTTGGCCCCAGAAGAGCTGTGGACGGGCCCCCGTGTTGACCAGCCTCCGACTCCTCTTGGTGGTCTTGGTGAGGTTGGTGATCCCGCTGAGCCTCTGGAGCCCCTTCTTGAAACGTGCCTTCCGAATCTTCAAGCGCCTCCGTAGCCCCAAGGTAGTATCCAGGCCGAGGTCCCTCCCCTGGACACTGGTCTTGACGGCCCACCCCAACTCCTTGGCGCGCTCGCTTATCTCGACGCTCGCCCAGGCACCGACGCGAGAACACACGATTTAGGAGAGAGCTTGCAACCATGGGCCTCGAGCTTCTTACCCAGGAACGCCTTTGCCTCTGGAACCACCTCCAAGATCTCCTTAGACGAGCCCCAAACTCGCAACCTCAGGTCGCCAACCCAGGTACGAAAACGAACTCGTAAAAACTGGTAGTGTAAATCTTCCAAGATGTTAAACAGAAAGGCTCGGGCGAGAGATGTTGACTGGGTGCAGCCTTGCAGGACGCTGTCGGTCGGGCACGTGGGCGACGAGCATCCTAGCGAGGCAGAGGACAGAAATCTGGCCGCCTGATGAACAATCATGGCGTGCATGAGCGGGATGGCGGGATACTCAAGGCTGCTGGCCACCCCGCAGACATACTCCGTACAAATCGTGTCGAAAAACTTTTCGATGTCAATCAATGCCTCTGCGAGCGGTATCTGCAAACTGGTAAACAGCTCCGCTGCCACTTCACTCAAAAGGGTTGCTCGAATGCACGATGATCCTCGGATGGCCTCATTCCAAAAACCTGCTCGTTTTGAATCCCACGCGGTGAGGCCTGGGCGGCACAACTTGACTAGGATACAATAGAAGCTGTTGGCATGGGTGATCGGCCGATCGGCTTCGATACTCTTAGGGAGGAGACGGACCATATCGAGTAGCACCTGCGCGGGATACTTAAAGGTCGTCCGAACCTGTTGATCAGGTCGGTGAAGGCAGTCTTGCCCTCGGGCGGCAGGGCGTCGAGCTCGCGCGGGCGCCACAGGTCAGCACCTCCTGCTGAGCTAGGGCTGTACCTCCGAACAACTTCAAACACTTCGGCTTCTGTCCAATCTGGCTCCTGGGCAGCACGCTGCTGGGCAACTCTTCGGAGCTCTTGAAGCCAGGGAAGATATTCAGGGCACTGGCGGGGTCCCTTTGGGCTCCAGAATTTCTCCCAATAGGTGAGCTTATGCTGCATGATAAGGATGGGGTCATCGGTAAGGGCCCCATTTAGAGGTACCACATCTTGTTCTTCAGGAGGGGGAGGGGTTCCCACGGTGATGGCATGTGATATCTTACCTCCTTTTTTAAGGTCGTCCTCGATCCACTCCTGGAAGGCCTTCCGAAACGCCTGGTTTTCTTTCTTCTGGAAATGTTGAGATATCTGCTCAAGATAATCCCCAAGAGTCTGCCCTGCCCCAATCTGGAAATTGGCCTCGAAAACCTCTAGGTCCGAGAACTGGCCTGTGAAATAGTCGAGAATGACATGTTTAATCTCGGGGTCGACATACTGTGGCCATCTTAGATCGGGAATAATTATGTTCAAAAGCGCCTGCAATGCAAAAGCTTGCGCATGGGGTCCAGGGCGTCGCAGGAAATGATCACGATCCTGCACGCGTGCGACAATCACCTGCCGCCGGTTTGCGTCGCTGGTGGCCAGCCCCGTCTGGGGCGCTGGCGGTAGCAGAGGACGCCTGAGCAGTTGCGCGCACTGGCCTCGCTGCGGGGCGGACTGGGATCCCACCTTGTTGTGGGTTTCCTGCAGCTCCAAGGCTCGACTCAGGATGGCACACTCTCGGGTAACCTGCTTGCTGACATGCTGGGCACAAACGGGGTAGGCGGGTGTGAGGTTCATGCTCTCCTCCTCCTCCTCCGCCCGCTCGTAATAGTATTCCCACGAGTGCTTGACTCCAGAGTATTCTTTCGGGAGAGGGGAGGCTCGACTGCATGCCAAAATCTCCTCCTGAGCGACTGCACGTGCCAGAACTCCTGCCACGCCTAGATGCGGTCTCCACGGGCCCTCCAGGACAGCCGTGAGAGAAGTGTCGAAAGCAAGACGCTGGTCGACCACAAAATAATCCAGCATGCGATGCCCATTCGAGCACGTCCACGTCGTGTTTTCTGGGGTAACCACGACCCCACGTACCCAGGAAAACCACTTCATGGGTTTCTTCAAATCCTCAGGAACAACATTCCAGTCCCCCGCGATGAGGTAGGGGAGCTTCTGCGTGCGGATGTGGGTGGTGAATTCCATGACGATATCACGATTTGCTTGGTTCATCCCAACCCCTGAAATCAGATATACGGCAACAACCAAGAAATTCACCCCATCCCCCCCTTTTCCTCCTCCTCCTGTTCCTCCTCCTCCTCCTCCTCCTCTTCCTCCTCCGCCCTCCTCCTCTGCCTTCCTCCTCCGCCCTCCTCCTTTGCCCGGGGACTCCGCCCTCCTCCTCCGCCCTTATCTTCCGCCCTCCTCCTCCTCCTCCTCGTCCTCCTCCTCCTCCTGCTCCTCCTCTTCCTCCGTTTCCTCCTCGCTTGCCCCCACGACGACCCGCCGACGCCGACGACAACGACCACGAAAACGACGAAAACGACGACCTTGCCGACGACACCAACAACAACGACGACGACCACGACGAGTTTGACGAATTTGACGACGAAAACGACGACTGTGACGAAGACAATAACAACAACCACACCCACATCATCAACACCATCAACACCATCAACACCATCAACACCATCAACACCAACACCAGCAACGAAAGCAACAACAACAATAATTTTAAGACTGTTCGCCCTTATATGCTCGAGTGTCCAATAACGCGTTTTCCAAAACCCTCGATACCCGCCCTCTTCGTCTTTTCGATCGACCCCTTTCGGGGGGTATACCTTTCTTCCCTGCAGGCCAGGCCCCGGCAAGCGGCTGGGCGGCCGCGGACCGTCGGCCTGGCCAGTGGCAGCGCTGATCGGCGGGGCGGCCGCGGACTGTCGACCCGACCCCAAGAGGGACGGACAGGGGACCGACCACGACGACGACGACGACGACGACGACGACGTCGAAGACGACGGCGACGACGACGACGACGGCGACGACGAGCGAAAGCGAGAGCGAGAGGCCACGAAGGGCGACAGCGGGGACACGAAGGGAATGCGTATGGGGCCACGAAGAGCGCGAGCGAGCGGGGGCCACGAAGTGCAGATAATGCGGGGCCACAGAAGGCAACTATGGGGCCACTGAGGTTAGCAACTGGGCCACGTAGGACAGTGAGGGGGACACAAATGGCGACAGCGGGGCCACGAAGGGCATGCACATGGGGCCACAACGGGCGCCAGCGAGCGTGAGCGCGACTCCTGGGTGCCTGGGTGTCGGGAGCGCGGCGCTTGGGCAAATTGCAGGAAATTCCAACGCAAGGCCATTCTTGCAAGCAAGTCTCTAGCGAGAGCGCGACGCCAGAGCGCCGGGAGAGCGATTCCTGAATAAATTCTAAGGAAGTCCCGAGCGAGAGCGCGATTCCTGAATAAAATGCGAGGAGATCTCGGGCGGGAGCGGGGGTCCTGGCTAAATTGTAAGGAAGTCTCAGGCGGGAGCCGTTGTTTTTGTAACCCGGGGGCCAGGGGGCCAGTTTGAGCAGGAAGACTTTCCTTCTCAAAAAAAAACAGGGTTCAAGCGTCGAAGGGCACACTTTGATTGAGAAAAAACAATATGCACCGGTGAGGGAGGATCAACAATATTTTTTCTGCAGAAGTGAGAATTCAACAGCAACAACAGCAACAACAACAACAACACCAACACCAACACCAATACCAACACCAACACCATCAACAACGCCAATACAGCAACAACTACAACGACGACGACAACGACAACGACTACCTCGACCTCGACGACGACGGCAACGAAGACCACGACGAAAACGGAGACCACGACGACGAAAACGATGACGAGGACGAGGACGACGACAACGACGACGCGCGCATGGGGAGGGGCCTCGGGGTCATACTCGTACAGCAGCGAGCCGCCGGCGAGCGCCTCCACGGGGGGGTTGAATGGGATAGAAAAAAAGACAGAGAGAGAGAGAGAAAGAGAAAGAGAGAGAGAGAGAGACAGAGAGAGAGAGAGAGACAGACAGACAGACAGAGACAGAACAGAGACACAAATATATCGGACAAATAAACGGGGGTCCCGTCGACTGCCAGCTACTGCGGTAGCCGAACCCGCCATCGCTCTCTTGGCGGTGGTGCGCACTGTGGAAGACGGGGTGATGTTGAAACAACCACCCCCCAGCGCACAGCGACTGAGGTAAAAGCCGGGGTGCTGAGCAGGCGATGCGCCAAATCTCTCGGCGCCTCGCGTGAGAAAAGCGCCCAGGTCGGCGAATAGAGACACAAGGAACGAAAAAAGGAGAGATAAAGAGGGAGATGAAAACACATTGAGAGAGAGAGAAAACAACACACACAAACCATATATATATATATATATATATACATACATACATACATACATAGAACGACAGGAGAGAAACAGACAGAGGGATAGAACGAACAGAAGAGACAGAAAACGCGATATCATAACGAAATGGAGGGAGGACGGGAAGCGTAGCGAGAGATATTGGCTGCGCAGAAGCAAGACATATAGTGATGCACGCACACGTATGAATGTACATATTTACTTGGTGTAACATGCGTGTGCGTATCAATTGAATGTGCGCCGATATACCAATCGTGAACGAAAAAAGCAAACAACAAAAAATGAAAAGGGGAGAGGGAGGGGGAAAGAGACACAAGAGAAACTGACAACAACAGAGAGACGGACACACCGAAAGACAGACGGACAGACAGACAGGCAGGCAAGCAGACCAACAGACAAACAGACACACAGACACCCAGACAGAGAGAGAGAGAGACGCAGAAAGAACAGCGCGATCGCCACCGAACGTACAGACGTTCCTCTTCCTACATGTTTTGCAAGCCGGGGTGTGTAGGACCCCCCCCACCCACCCTAACCCCAAAACGGAACAGCGAGGCGTTGGTTTCCCCGAAACTCCGAGGCCACCCCAAAGCCCCCCCAGCGCGTCCCGGACCTCCTAGGGCGCTTGGCCGGGTCTCGCCACAAAGCCCCAGGCGATCAGAGCGGTGATCAGAATGGCCGAAGAGAGACTCAAGATAACATAAGAGCGCTCCACGACGGACCCAAATTGTCTCCAGAGGCCTCGAAGGTGGTCCAGGAGGCCCTGAACAGGACCCCCAAAACGCAGAAATCGCTTCATTCCCAGAGGGGAACATATGTTTGTTAGCACCTTCGCTGTTCGGGTGCTAGCAACGTCCGAAACAACCACGAGGTTTCCGACATCGCCCCAAGACGGCCCAGAAGACCCCCAAGATAGCCCCTAGACGGCCTGGATGGCCCCAGTATTGCCCAATGAAGACCCGAACGGGGCAAAAGGAGGCCCGACCTCACAAGGCACCCGAGGGAAACCTAAGAAGACCACGGGAGGCCCCCTGAAAAGGCCATGGGAGGCCACCAAGACGGCCCACGTAGCCCCGGCACGGTCCCTAGAGGGCCCAAGCCCCCCAACGCGGCCCAGGATTGCCCCAAGACGGCTCGAGAGGGCCCCATGCCGGCCCACCAGGGCTCCAACAAAGCCCACACGGCGGTTTCCACCAACCTGACCTGGATCCTGGGTTCGGAACCACATTTCCTTGAAATCTGTTGCGAACCCGGGATCCGGCGCATTCCCCAATAATTACTTACTTCGATTGCCCCATCGTGACCCGCTGCAACGTGACATCCTCGGTGACATTGCGTCGGTTTGTTTGGCATTCGTTCGCGTGGGTTGCCAGTCCTTCGCATTGCGCACCGGGGCACCTGAGCCACACCCGGGCCAATGTGCGGGCCTACGAAGGCCTTTCGTAATCATTCGGTGCCAGACATCTCTGCAAGCGTGCACGCACACATGAAACCGTAGCCGCTGGCTTCTGGACAGCACTCCTCGGTGCGGCGCAACCGAAATTATTCGCCGTCCCCCGACGGCGCCATTTCTTTCCCTCCTCCTGCTCCTCCTCTTCCTCCTCCTCCTCCTCCTCCTCCTTCTGGCGTTCCACCACCCGTCCTCCCCCACATCCGCTTCCCTCACCTCGCTCCCTGAGATTCCCTCGCTCGTATCCTTCGCCCTCCACCCGGCGCGTTTCGGGAGCCCCCCAAGGCACGGGAAGGGCCACTGACCGCCAAAACTTTCGAAGACTTCCGAAAACCACCGCAGGGAAGGGGCCAAACTTCCAAGCCCATTGGGGATTGCGCAAACACGAAACGAAAACAAAGCTGCAAGGACCAAGGTGAATGGCGCGAAGCGCCCATTCACTCTTGCATATACACACGTATATACATATACATATATACATATACACATACATATATATTATGGGCATGTGAACATATATATATATATATCATATATACACATACATTACATACTTACAAACATACCGACAGACAGACGGACACACACAGACAGACACACACAGACAGACACACACAGACAGACAAACAGACAGACAGACCGCCAGACAGACAGACAGACAGACAAACATACATATATATATATATATATATATATATAAACATGACTGTAGTGGCGCTTCGCGCCATGCACCTTGGTCCTTGAAGTCTGGTTGCAGGCGGACTAGCAGGAATGTCAAGCCGACAATTTAGCGATAACTCCTTGTTGCCTTTTTCCGGCATCGCCGCTATAATTATGTTTTTCGTTATCCTTCCTCCATGCTTCTTTTTCCTAATTTTCGCCATGCCATGCGCAGTATCCCCATCTTCCTCAGCTCTTTTAGCGGAGGCTCCTCCTTGGAGAGCCTCTGGGGGCCTCACAAAAGTTGTTTCAGGCTTTCTAAAGGCCTTCTGGAGGCCTCCTGGGCGTATTCTGCGGGCCTCTTGGGGCTTCCTCGGGCCACCCTGCCTCCAACCGCGGTCTCCCTGAACGACCGGGTCACGATTTGGAATGTTTCGGAAGGTGTTTTGGGACCATCTTGGGCCCCCACGGGGCTTTCTGAGGGCCATCTTGGACTGCTTGGAAGCCTTTTCGGATGGCTGTGGGACGTTTTTGGAGCTTCCCAGGCGGCTTCGGACGCCCAGAAGACCGCCGTCTTGGAGCGTCAGGAAGCCGAAAAGAGGAGAACACCAAAATTCATTAGAAACCGCAAAAAAAAACAATGATTCTTGCCTCTTGGGGCCTTCTTGGGAGTGCTCTTGGAGGCCTATTGGGACGTTTCGGGACGATCTTTGGGGGTATGGCGGCTTCTTGGGGGTCGTCGTGGACCGTATTGGGGCTCTCTGGGGTAGTTTCGGGAGCGCGCCACGCCCTGCGAGGCCAGAGGTGTCGCTTGGAGGCCCGTCCGGGGGGTCCCAAAGCTCCAGATCCCGGGAGTCCAGTTTTGTGGGGGGGTCTTCCCGCCCGGGCTTATAACAATAAAGTAAAAGGAGTATATACAGCGAGTGCACTGGAGACACGCGCGCGCTTCGCGCGCGTGGGCTCTAGGGCAGCCCACGCCAACTTTTTAGGACCGGATGAGCATGGACACCATCCCGCAATAATCACAATACGGGAGCGTACTTCCTGATGGACGCTTCAGGGGTCGCTGAATAAGCAGGCGTCGAAAGAGCCTGTTGCTCTGAGCACATACACCAAGCAGCTGCCCGAAGGTAACTCTTGGGAGGCTTTGGGGGGCTCGTGGCCGGCGGACCGTCTTTAGCGGTCCTGGAAATATCCTGGGCGTGTCGAGGGCCCTTCGAACAATCTCGGCGATGTTTGGTAAACCTGGGGGCCAATGATATTGGGCAACTTGAACCACCCAACGGCTGCCAAGGCCGATCGACGCCGCATCGGACGCGGCCTTGGGGATTCACTCGGCCGTACTGCGCCTTGTTGAGAAGCGCTGAAACGTTGTACGATATACGGCACCAGACAGATGACGCGGCTCACTTCCAATGGAGGCGACGTCAAGAACGACTTCGCGTCATAGGTCTGCGTCCAGGGATTCCCCCAACTGTTTTTCTGAAGGAAGCGTCAGGAAAGCGCACAGGGCAGCCTGGTGGAGGACCCAGGGCAGCTTAAGGGGACGCCCGACAGCCCCGAACGGCCTGGCAAAATCTTGCTGGGAGTCACTTCGGGTGCCTTTGGGGAAGTTATTGGAAGGCTCTTCGGGGTTTCTTTGGGGGTGGGGTTGTTAGGGGTCTCCTGGTGGCCTCTTGTGATTTCTTGTGCGCGCCTCGGGGGCCTCCTTGGGGCCCTTGGCGTCTGGGCTCGGAATGTCGAATGAGATCGACCTTGAAAAAAAACGATGCGACGATTTCCCGTGTTTGTCAAGGTGGATCACCTGGGGGATAACGAGGTTTGGGGTCCCTGAAGGATATCGCACGTGGGACGTATGACAAGGAAAGACGAGGTCGTCGTCGCCGCCGCACGAAGACGACGACGACCACTATCACGACGACGGCGACGGCGACGACGACCTAATCCTGCCAAGCATTCGCGACTCTGGAAGGGATCGCACGGACGAGATGGGAAAGGAAAGTGAACGGGAGGGGAGGAGAAGGCTGCGAGAGGAGAGAAGGCCCAGGACCAGCATGCCCTAAACAAATATAATTCGGGCCATTCCTTTGTGATGTTGCGAAATCTATGGTTTGTTTTGCAGTTTTCTACATCATGGTCGCCCGTCCGCGGTGATAGAAGTGCCCAAGGTAATAACGTTCGGGGGGTGGGGGCGAGGTGGGAAAAAGGCGAGTAGTAGTAGTAGTAGTAGTAGTAGCCGTAGTAGTAGTAGTAGTAGTAGTAGTAGTAGTAGTAGTAGTAGTAGTAGTAGTAGTAGTAGTAGTAGTAGTAGTAGTAGGAGTAGTAGTAGTAGCAGTGGTAGTAGTAGCAGTAGAGGTAGGAAGTAGTAGTAGTAGTAGTAGTAGTAGTAGTAGTAGTAGTAGTAGTGGTAGTAGGGGGAGGAGGAGGAGGAGGAGGAGGAGTAATAGTAGAA